GTGCATGTACCCACTCGGACACCAGCTACAAGGTCAAGGTTTGGCCGTACACACTGGCCTGAGGAGTTTGGCGTTCGGTGATGGCGGCAGCAGCTCTCGTGCGAGTCAACGATCAGCCACTGCAGTTGGCCTTACGTCTCTCAGCACGGGCGTACGGGCTCGGCCACCACTTCGCGTGGCTACACCCAGTCAGGTTCGGCACTCGGTTCGAAGCACATACCAACAATTTCAATTTCTGGATCTCACAATTTCTAAAGTACTCCGGCAGGACAAAGGGTTTAACAACAACTATTTTCCCAAAAGGGATCAAGCATTGGCGTCACCGCCAGGAACAATCCTAACCCGGCAGTCAATGCCGAACAACAGAATGGTTAGCTCATTTGACTCTACCGACTAACAGTGTCAGTCATCACGACAACTTTTACTCAGGTAGCTAATCGTGCCGGCAGTCTTAAACAAGTCTAATCCACATACATAGCCTATAGCTTTCACAGTTCGAGGTCTAGCGTAAAGCTTCTCTCGCAAGTGTTTCCAGCTAACATTATAATACTAATCAAATTAAGTCACATAGGGCACAAATACATGAAAATTGACGTAAAGCTAATTTTGAAATTCGCAACTCAATTTGGAAACCTAAACATGAACTTGAACTAATTTCGAGCATGCGTGATGAATTTAAAATGCATGTAGCTTTCAGTTTACATATCATATCATGATGAAACCACTTAGAAAATATCCCTAACTCAGGCCTCTATCACTTTCATGAAAAACACTCTGGCAGATTAAATCATTTAAATTCACATAATACAGCAAACATACAAAACATAGGTGCAGTGGATAAATGAAGACATACAGCTTGACAGGTTCTCAGTGTATGCATGATAATCGAAGCTACAGACATGATATTACTGAAATTCAAAAACTCAAAGATAGCTAACTCAATTATCTATAACTTTCTTGTTGATCATTTAAGCCAATAATAACTTTAAAACCGAGTTTCAGCATAAAACATTTAGGTCAAGAAATCTGCCAACGAAATAAATTTTAAATTACAGCAGGTCACTAAATCAGGAATATCTCATGCCACAAAACTCCGAATCATACAAACTTAAAATCTATAAAAACTAAACTTGAATTGCTACAAGTTCCAAGAAGGGCATTTTTACAAATAACCACGTTAAGGGCCTCAGTTTAAAACATGCATTTCAGTCATATACACTGCCACTATTTCAAAAATTCTGGGCATAACCTCATCTTTGAAAATTTATATAAAATCAACCAGAACCCCAACTAACATGATTTCAACTCCCAGAGAAAGCTTATAACATTTACTACAAGTTTCATGTTGATCATATTTTCACATAATCACATTAAGATTGTCAAAATAGCCCAACATCATGATTCACAATTCTGCCCGAAATTTCAAAAACTGCTTGCAGATTCAACTTCAAAAATTCATAATAAATTCAATTTAACTCCGAATTTTGAAATTCCAACTCTCAATGAACCCAAACTCAAAATACTATAATTATCATGATAAATACCTACCCAAGAAACAGCTTCTTGGTTACGAAAAACTGAGCACAAACAGAAGCTTAAACATAGAGTTTTTCAATTAAATACGACACAAGACATATATTAAAGAACATAGCATCAACGAGCCACATATGATCACAAAATACCTCATGTACACACATATAAAGTTCAGGAGGATCAACCAAAAACTGCGATAACAGCATACAAATCCACTCACACTTAAACCTCAACTCATCTCATTACATTTCGAAACTCGGCAAGGGTTCGAAGAAAACGAATACATTCTCGGTCCTCATTGACTGGGTCCTCACTCGGAGATATGGAATAGAATTATATAGAAAGGGAAACTTATATGGACAAGACTTAACTCGAAACAACATATTGAAGCTCACAACGATAAACCTTTAGAGTCTGAACTTAACTCCATATCCCTAGAGTTCAAGGTCAAACACTAGAGTTCACATAACCTAAGGTGGATAGATTTCCTAAGCCCCAAAACAACATATCTATCACTTCATGAGTAGTCTCATTGCTAC